CAAGTATGCCAATGTCTTAGTTGAAAACGTAAACTCGTTGTAAAAAGCAAAATCCGAAATCTGAAACCAAACTGCATATACTATATGCAATCTATTGAACAACACTACTACCGTGAGACTGAAGAACAAAATTCAAATGGATGCAAACTGCTAGTGAAGAAAGACGCCATGTTGGATTCACTTGATGCCAGGGAACGTAGCTACGATAACAGTGCGAATGGTATTAATTTCACGATCAGAAAGGTGAATCTTATGTTTGTTTTCATTGTAGTTGTATTGATATTCTTTTTTAATAAATACATGATCCAAAATCCCGTGTTTTTTGTGTATAATGTTACTATGTCAAGTATTGTTTACGCAGTTGTCTTGTCACAGACGACCCAAGGTCAGAGCCAACGAGTAATTCACGAACGCGTCACGCGTTGTGTGACTCAGAGTAAGTTATTCTAGGAACCGCTGAAAATTTGAACACGTTATAAGGAATAGTATAGGGAACGAAATATGGTCGATTTACAACGATAAATGTTTCGAAATATGAAGATTTTTCTCGAAAAATCAATAAAACTTACTCATACCCTGTGTATCCGTTGTAGTTTCTGGCGATTGTTGCCGTTTTAAGCTTGCTTTACCATCACTATTATTCACGTCATCTACTTTTATTACATTGGTAAAATCTGTACAGACATCACACCAACCAACTCGTGCGCAAAGTAAGAAGACTATGTTGAAGGCTTGAAATTATATTACGATCGATTTTCATCAAGAAATGGGCCAGGAATTTTCCACAATAGTGCAAATAATCGTGGAGGCTGATCGCGGAAAAGCGATTGCGTGACGCTCGGTATCCTGTACTGAGATGACATGTTATTATATACCAGACGTAAAAACTCTTCAGATTCTCAGTCTGCATTTTTTACCCACTCTGCAGTCTATATTTTGTATCCGGTCTGCAGTCTGCTGTCTACATTTTGTACTAACAGGTATCCGTGGCACAAATACAGTTTATTTTTTCGTTACATTTATTCGCACAACACACATAATCTACCACAAAATACCTGTGTGTGAGGTAATTCGACATTTTCATTCTTTCCCGCGTTAATAATCTTCTTTCCTTTTGTAAGAATGTAGACCACTTACAATGTTTCAAGTAATCCACCCACTTTAGAAAAAATAACTCTTGCATGCGTATCATGCCTATGTTTTGAGACAGGTGTATGCCCTTGGCCAGACTTGAGCTCACTATTTCAGTATACTAGTCCGACACGCGTAGTATCACTACACTTGACTCCACGGATCCAGTACCATCCAGGTATCCCAGTTACCCTGCTCACAGGGTCTAGTTTGTATTCCTTTACAAAGATCTCGTGAACGCATTATTACTCAATCATTATGAGGTCAAAAGCACTGACGTAAAATACAATTTTATTAATCATTTTAGTGATTAAATAGCTTTCTTTAAAAATGTGATATCCTGTCAAAAATTATAAAAACCTATGCAAGAAAACTCCTATATATTATCCTATTATTATGAATCAAAAAGTCCATTTTAATAAGTTTCGATTCTAATTCGTTACATTAATTAATTTTGGTTCCAACTTGTAGAACCTGCGAAACAGGTCGTATGACAAAGAGAAACTCCAAGAATTGTTTCAGAGTGTATGCGTGTTGTTTTGTAAATATGAACACTATAACCTATTTTAACTTGTTTTTGTGTCCTTTTAAGCAACGCGATATGTCTGTTATGGCCAGAGTGCCAAATTTTATTCTTTAATTTTAATCTTCTCCACACCGTGCGTAATTCATGACCTGATATTTCAACGTTTATTACACCCATTTTGAAATCACTGATGGTCCCTGTAATCTGATTGGCTCTAATTGGTGCGATTTATTCACAAATTGCACCATTTTTTGCTTTACATCGCATCTTTTCCCCAGCCAATGAGGAGGCTACACTAAAAACAAAACAACCAATCAGACTTCAAGGCTTGTTTAAAGTAACCGATCATATTGCAGGAAGATGAAAGACATGGAGTATCAGGTGGCAAATTTTGCAACTTTTGTTTCCAAAACTCTTATTTTTTCCTCCCAAAAAATGGATGAATTTAATTTCAAACCAGCTCAGTATTGTATTAATAAAATATTTGAACTGACCAAGTCCTGTATTTGGGCGATTTCAAAACGGATGTAATAAAGTGGTAATTGAACCTCGTGTTGTGCAATTTTGGTCTGAAATCATACTTGTGATTTCAAATCGAACTCGCGCTGCGCGCTCGTTCAATTTTGGAATCACGCGTATGATTTCAGCCCAAATTGCACTCCACTCAGTTCAATTACCATTATAAATTATCGAGAAGGCGCCTATCGATCACCTTTGTCTACTTTGTAAGTTACGCAAGCGCGCAAGTGTTACGACCGATCATGTTAACGCAACGTTTTAGGACAACTCGGCATATAATCTCCATTCAGTTGCTGTGAAAACCTAAAATCCTCAACTTAGAAGATGAACGAACGAAGTTTGAACGGTCAAAAGGAGATCTTGGTCAATTTTAAGAATCATGCAAATGATCTTTGACACAAGCGCAATTGAGCAAACACATGGATTTGCGTTGTTTTTAAGAAGTTGACGGATGGAAGGTAGAAATGTACCCGTGGGTTTGAGGCAATATATGACCTCATCGGTGTATAAACTATGCACTGATATGCTTTTTCAGCCCGATAAACGCCTGCATTTTGAGAATTCTTTCGTACAAAGTAGTGAATTTTTGATATGCAAATGAAGGTCGAAGAGAAGGGTCTCCTGTGATCACGCTGGTATGAAAAATATTTCAGCTGAAGTTTCCATATTTTGTCTGTGAACTAACTGAATACATCTTGTAACTTGTAGCGAGATAGAATTCCATGAGCTACATTTCTGTAGTCGCTGCACGCTGGACAAAATCTTTGAAATTTACACTTTCGATCGCTGTCCACAAAGCCTGAATTTCATTAAGTTACCAC